GAGACATTTCATCTTTAAGAACAACAATTTAACAAGTCTGACTTTGACAAGAGCATTTAGTACCCTTTAATCCAGGTCTGGGGTCCAGAACACCACTTTCCACCCCTATGCAGCAAGCAGTGACAGTTACAGTACTCTGCAACATTCCATATACCAACCATTCCAGAGCTAAGTATGGCCTACAGACTATCAATTACAAACAAAAACTTTGAGGCACTGCCAATCACATTTCTTATAAATCAGGATGTCACGTAGGCTTGATCTGGAGAATTTAAATATTTTTATCAAAAGATATCAGGTGTGTTTAAAACAGACTCCAGTTTGTCAAGACCAGAGGATGTCAGTAGCAGGTACAGAATTCATTCTAACAACCTCACCTTGCTACACTGTGTTTTTTCAGGAGCAAAATGAAAATCCATATTCTCGGTGCAGAAAGGATCTGCTCTTGTCTTTCACTGCTATGTTACTGCAGTTGCTTTGACCTTCCTGAGGCTCTGAATTCAACGAATATGCTTATCTACAATTCCTCCTCCCCAAACATCTTTGGCCTGCTTCCAGTCACCATTGTTTAAGTAGCAAGAAAAAAACAAACGGAATCAGTTTACTGTTGTCAAAAACCTTGAGTCTCTTAATCAGTGAATTATAAGGGCCAATAGTTAATACTGTTGGGAAATTATCTGGTGACATTTCATTCTATAAGAGTTAAAACAGCCACCAGGTTATTTAAAGGTTGTATATATCTAAGGACACGATACCCTCAAAGTTTGTTCCAAGTCATCTGAGACATTTGCAGTTAGACAGCCCAGATGCAACACACATTAATATTAGGACTTCAGTCCAGTCCCTTCAGAAACCAATATGCACCATGTATCATTTCCCATGGGCTGTAAATTTAACCACTTCTAAGACCTAGTTTCTGTAAAGGGAAAAAAACCAACCCATCAGTCTAGAGAACTGCATATCTGCCAAGTCTAAAGCTCTACAAACAAAGCCAGAGTTATACAAACACAAAGAGCAGCAGAAAAGTCTTAGAACAGGCATTACCCCTCTCCTCACTGTCCACTCAAGCTGCTGGTCAGATTTATGAAATAGATCTGTGAGCCAAAACCCAGCATGACAGAGACGACCCCAGCAACTATGGAGCTGAAAACAGAAGGTTACAGTAAAAATGTGTTTTATTCCCAACGAGAACAACTGCTTGAGTCCTACTGAGTCTATGAGGAGGCAAGACTTCCTCTAGGCATTAAAAGAGGAAACTGGTGCCTAAATTTGCTCTGATACAGGTTTATAACAAGACGTAAGGGGACTGTGGATATCCAAATTATTACAAGACTATAACTGATATCAGGGTACAACAGGGCATTGCAGTAACTAGCAGTGCTAGCAGGATGCATATTTCTATAGAGGAAGTTTGTTGGGATTAGACACTTGTTCACACACCTCTTCTTCCTCCTGGAGAATGGGACAGCACTCATATTGCCTTTGTTCAGGTTTGGTGAGCCTAGCCAAGATGACAATTCCAGCCTCAGGATACACACCTTACAAGAAAGTCAAGCTAAAACAGCAGGCAGCTCACCTCAGACTTAAAAGCAACTAGGAAAACTTCTGAGCAGAACCAACCTGGTTCAGGTAAGCCATACTGCTCCCAGAACTAGCGTCTATCTGTATTCCCCTCTGGACAAAGTCTGAGGTAAACAGCCCAAAAAAGATGCACTCTGACTCCATACAAACACTCCTTCCACTGCTCCATAACTTTCTAGATACTTGCCATCATCTTCAGTGTTTGCAAACACAGGTAGGAGGATACCAAACCGATGCAGCTATGCATCCATAGCCGAGAAGGACACCCCACCTTCTGCAGGAGCTCATGTGACCCCACAACATCAGAGGTACTCAGTACCATCGCCCCAGCACCTCTTCCGCACAGGCATCCAGACGTCTCCTAACCCCAGAGCGCAACACCTTCGGGATTATCACGCCTGCACGACCTGGACATGAAACATCACCGCGCACTCCTCCCAGAACCCGCGGGCTCCTGCCAGAAGCATCCCCTTCCCCTCTTCCTGCAGGAGCCCCGAAGAGGCGGCTCCCCGGGCTGTCCCCGGGCAGGGAGGCCTGCTCGGGGCCGGAGCACCGACCTGACGTGCAGTTGCCGGTGCTCCTCGCCAATCTTGCCCAGCTCCACCTGCAGCGTGGCGCGCTCGATGGCGATGTCGTCCAGCGTCCGGCGGGCGTCGGCCAGCTCCGCCTCGTAGCGGAGCCGCAGGCAGCCCAGCTCCCGGTCGCTGCCCGCCTGGTGCTCGCTCAGCCGCTGCTGCAGCGCCGACTTGTCGGCCTCCAGCGCCCGCACCCGCTCGATGTAGGCGGCCAGGCGGTCATTGAGCTGCCGCAGCTCCTCCTTCTCCTGCAGCCGGCTCAGCCGCGCCGGGCTCAGCGGGGACTCGGCGGCGCGGCTCCCGCTGGCCGGCGCGGGGGGCAGCGCCGTGGCCATGGCAGCCCCGCTCCGGGCCCCGCCGCCGCCGGGACCGCCCCGCGCAGGACACCGAGCGCCCGCCGCCGCCCCGGTATAAATAGCGCCCAGCTGCCGCCGGCCGCGCCGAGGGTGGGCAGCTTAAAGGGCTCGGCAGCGCCCTGCGGCTGCCCCGGCCCGGCCGAGCCCTCTAGAAAACACTTTTATTCTTCTCCCCTCGTCCCCTCCACACCGCTTTATCTTTCACATGTGACTTACCAGCCCGATGGTGCTGCCCGGAGAAGGCGGGGAAGGAAAAACCTACCGCGGCCCTGCGTTCTCACAGACCGGTGCAAGGGGTCGGGGCGAAACCAAAATCCCAGCTTTAGGAAGATGCATGACAGCTGCAGTGATGCTCACACTCCAGCATGCTGCTGCGTCAGTGCTCTGCCTGTTGTGTCTGGGATTCTTTCTGCAAATTGTTCAGCTGATGAAAATAACAAGTTCTGCTCTTTGTGGGCGTTTTAGCTTTCCTGTCAGCCATCCCACTTATATAGTGTTCTGCTTAAAAGCTGATGTGCGAGCAAAAGTAAGAAGGGATGTAGGAAGAGAAACTGCACGAAGACAAATGTGTAAAGCAGTCTGTAAAGCTTTACACTAATTACATTTAATAAAATCAGTGTTTAGTAAGAAGATTGCTTCAGCACTCCTTTAGTAGTGATGTGAACAGTGACAATTGTCAGTTTTCCCCACCAGCTAATTAATTTACCCTTTTTTACTTCAATTTTTGAGAGCAGATGCTGTAAGAAACTCATTCAGTATGAGCATAAAAATCTCTGAACATTAACTGTAAATTACAGTGTTTGTTGCAGCAGTTACAAGAAATGTCAATTAAGATCTTAGCTTAAGCTGTTATTTACTACGCAGTAAAATAATCTTGGCATTCTCTCAGAGTTCTTTAAATATAAAGACATATATTTTTGAAGAGTGTAGGCATAAATATAACCTCCTCTTTATAGGTGGACAGGCACATAACACAGGAGCACAACACAGTTTGCCCCAAGAGTGTAGTTCGGGAGTTTAGAATTAAGTCACTTATACCTATGGATATGAAGGTACAGTACAGATAAGGACCTGGACGAAGGTGTGAATCCACAAAAAAGGATTTATTTTTTCCTGAGCATCTTTACACATTTTTATAAAAACCCAAAAATAATTTCAATATTCTAAAGCCATGTACAGCATGGGAATGACATAGAGCCAGATTAAGCTCCTCTGGTTCTTGTCTGAGCAACACCACCAGGAAATTCTTTCCTGCAGAGCTGTTCCAGCATTTTATTTTGATATAATGAGTTTGTCCTTGATTGCCAATAGAAAGTTCAAGAAAAATAAAAAGCATAGTTTAAATCTGAACATATACCTCTAAGACCAAGCTTTGAAACCTCAGTCCTCTACAAAGAACACTGTGATCGTGTGTCATTGCCATGCTTGATCATTGCATGTTACTGGCCAGCTGTTCAAATACATTGTACAGTTTTGGAACAGATGCAGGACAAAGCAAGAAATCTGCTATTCTAAGAATACTTTTCCTTCTCTGCCAAGGCTTTGTAATAATGCAAACAAAAACAGCTGAAAGAAATAGTTCAAAAATAGTCCAAAATAGTTTTATCTTTTGTATTCTTTACCTACTCTCCCTGTGCGAGAACAGAAGGAGGCAAATTAAGAAAAGTATAATGGAAGTCTATTGCTGATTCTTTTCTTTGTGACATTTTTTTCTGACTTCTTTGATAGTCTGTATTGCTCAGACCACAAATATAGCTGAGGAATTCCTGCAGAGATAAGCCTGTGCCATCCTTTCCTACTGTTTCAAGTTTAAAGATATTAGGAATGTTCCAGGATTAACAGATGAGGGTTGGGGCGGGGGGGGGGGAAGGAACTATGGGAAAAGGAAAATACACATCCCAGACTAAATCACAGCAAAAATATTATACAAATAGTCCTTTTACAGAAAAATATAGATATGGGAGATTTAGATGGTATTAGCAGATGCCACAAAGTTAAAATAAAAAAACACTGTGGATTTTTTCAAGCATCATAATAAGCCCTTGAGCTTGAGTTGGTGAAATTAGGTGAAAAAAAGAAAACAGCACTGAAGTAATACAATAAAAAGAAGGAGGGAAAAAAAAAATCAAGTAAACTTTTGGTTATCCTTTTCTGTAGGTATCTCTAACTTATTCCAGCCAGGTGTAAGCAATGTGAGGGTGTTTGTCCCAAAATGTCAGGGCTCCTAGTGCACTAACAGCCATCATGACCTTGACCAGCCTCAGCTGAGGCTTCTGCCCACGCTGTGCCCAGGGCTGCTGGAGCTCCATTTAAACTCAGCCCCACCCTTTGTTCTCCCTTGTGGATTTTCTGAGCTGTGGGCTCTGCTGGCCCATGGACTGATTTTCTGGCTTGGTTTGTGCCTGCCTGGTTATTGTAACTTTGCCTGTGCTCTCTGCTCCCCTGGCTGTTCCCTCTGCCCCCTGCATATCTCACCCAGGAGCAATGGGACAGGGCACAGCCTCTGTGGCTCCTGCCCACCTGACTGGCCTCTCTGTTCTGTGGGAAGCAGCTGGACTTTCCTTGGATGAAAGTTTGTTAGAGCCATGTCTGCTACGTACTTTTGGTAAGGTGAAGTTTCTTGATTATAATATCTCTTTTTAGAATTCATTTTTTGTGACCCAATACAAAATGCTTGAATTCATCTCTACTTTTTGAGTGTTAAATGTAGTTGAGGCTGTACATAGTAAGCAGTTAGGCTTGACTATTGTGACAATGTTGTGCTTAAAAATTTAGGTATAAATGCAGAATCAGCAAAAACAATGGAAAATTGTGTAGTGCTTTGGTGTTTTTCTCTGAATGTTATTCTGCTCTGTAATTCACCAGAGTCTTTTCCTAAATGCCCAGTGGAAATAAATGAAGGCATCACTGGACAGTGTAACATCTTAAGGAGCTACTATGTACAGCAATGATATTGTTTTAAATGATAATATTCTGAGGTATTGGACTATAGCAATAAATGTCTCCTCTGTAAGCAGTCTGTTTACAGAGAGCTCTTAATGACTCTCACATGACCAGCGCTGAGGACAAATTGGGTTTTGTTGGCCTGATAATGGTTGCTACAGTACCAGAGGAGGTACTTTTTCCTGAGAAAATTAGAGATCCCCCACCAGAAAGGTTAAAGGACTGTTTCTGTGTCATTGGTGGCAGTACACAGAGATGGGAAAGGCCTTTGAAGAACACATCAATGCACAAGTGATCCTCCTCTGCAGGACTCCAGCCTATGCCTCTATTTGCCTGGTTAAATTAAGCAGTACAAGTCAGTTGTTGTCTGCTATGGAACAACAGCCTTCTATAAGTTGGTAACGGGGGAAAAAATAATTTTTTTTTTTTGGTGACCTTACCAGATACAGAAGTAAACAATAGATTTTGTTTGGTAGAATATGAAATGTAGAAAATGCAACAGATAATAGCCTTTGTTAGGTGACACTGGGCAAGTTCCTTGTTTAGGCTGTCCTGGTTGCCAGCTGTCAGTGATCAAACTCTGCTCTTTAGCTACACACACAGAAGCTGTTGCTATGCATGGTCTGTATTGGCACTGCTGTGCCCAGCACCTGGCTCGCTGTGTGCAGGTGCACGGGGAAGTGTGCATTCATCTTCTCTTTTCATAGCCTCACTCTGTGTGTCACTGGTATTCATCCCAATGATGTATTGTGTGTTTCTTCCGACCTTTAATTTTTTTTATTCCTTCTCCCTGTTTCCTCCTTATGTTCTCTTCCATTTCCACACTGGTGTGCTTCGTGGTGGATGCTCGTGTAGTGACATGCACAAGTCATCTTGTGGCACACAGGCTGCCTGCTTTGCTCTTGCTCTCCCCCAGTGACCCCTTACAGCAAGGGCAGGTCCTGCTGACCTTTGTCCACTGCTCATGACTTGCAATAGAATTGATTTCCTCAGAACCCCTGTTTATTCACCAAATATTGCCTCTTCCACATAGCTCTCAATAGCATCTTGTTTTGCACAATAACAGAAGTGAGGGCCATTGCAGAATGAGGAAAACAGGTCACTGGTACTGTTGCATGAGAAGAAAATGGTAGACAAGTTCAGGAATTCAATATGCCATGTCCATAGCCTCAGTGGGGATGTTATTTTGTTATAAGCTATGTGAGCACATAGCTATGTGTAGATAAACTGGAACTATTTTACCTCTGCAATGAATTTTTAATTTTGCTTTATCTGCATTCAACCTTTATCAATACAAATGCATATTTTCTAATTATGCTCAACATAATCACCTACATCCTTTCTAAAATATATTTTGCAAGCCCACAAAATGATAAAATAAGTGTGTTATAAGTTTATCTCAAAATGCTTATTCTAACATTTTAGTTAAGGCTGTGAACTGTGAGCTAGAATAACAAGCTTGTGCCATTTGAAAGTGTGTTTGTTTTGCTCTTACTGTACAGGATCATAAATATGAAAATGAGCTGTAAATTGTTTTGCTTGAGCACCAAAAGGAATTTGAAAGACAAGGAAATAGAAATATGTATTAAAATACTTGAAATATTGACTATATTGTTTAGGTAATTCTAGCGTTATTTGAACACAAACTGAGAGGAAGACAGTAGTTTTCTTCTACAATGTTTAGGTCTTTACATAAGCAGTTTTTCTTTCTGAAAGCCTAGAATTTTTTTTCTGTTTACTGTTGTGATGGAGCTGTTTCCAAAGCCCAGGGCAAGGCTCTACATGGAAGGCAATGGGTTCCATAAGACCAAGAAATGAAAGAGTGCTGTGGCTGAACTTTGTACCTTTTTACTAATAGAGGCTTTACTCCTGATAGGGTATAACAAACTTGTGAAGGGTGACAGTGTGTGACTGTTCTCTGCCCTGAAGGGCTTGTTATTTCAGAGTAAACAAAAACCCTGTGCACATACAGTGCAGGGCCAAAGAACTGATTAGACTGTGTCAGGGTTCTCATTACTCTAGCTACAGGAAATTTAACATTTTGCTTTTATTAATCAATCAGGTGCAGCTCTGTTACTGATAACTTTGAGATGTTGAACCAAAACGCAGTTTCTGCATGGGGCCTCTGCAGGATACTTCCAATTTTGCTATATGTTATTCAGAATGCTGATTTATGAGCCAAATGTTGTTCTGCACTGTTTCAATGGATTTTAAATTTGTAGTTTAGCCAAACATTTTTTCTCTTGAGTAGTAAAGGCTTTTGTTGTGATGAAAGAATGGTCTCCGTGATCATCAGATTTGTGTAATTGAACTTGGTTTGGGGAAATAATTATATATAAGTGGAATCTGTTGAAGACGTATGTCTACCTGCATTACAGGACAAAGATGAATGGAGAAGTGTTTTTCATTTAAATATGACTGTTTTGTGTTAATGTTCAAAGAGTGAAATTTGGTGGTTATAATGTGATTTAACAGAGATTTTTTGTTTGCCTGACCAGAGGTTGAATTTTTTTTCAGTTTGGCCCTTTGGCAGCTGTATCTTGCAGAATCTTTTTTCTCTGCCTGCACTGTTAACTGGAAGCTGAAATTTTCTATTGCAACTGACCATAAATCAAGAAATTGCAAACTATTTCATGGTTACATTTGATAGTGACGACACATGGTCTTAAGTCTGTGTAAAACAAAGGATAAGACCATCATATTTCCAACCCTCATCCTCATTAGAGCCATGGCAGCTGTACAGAAGGATGACATTGCTGTTACGTGTTCAACGAAATAATAAGTGCAAATGTCCATATTTCACAATTTTATGAACAGTAAAGGCTTTAGAGTTGTCATTTTTCATGTAATTTAAATTACATATATTTTAGAGACCAGCAAAAACAAAGCACATGAATAAAATAAAATAAAAAATGCTAAAAGCAAGAAACAAATATATCTGAACTGAGGGTTAAAAGTATTGCTATAGTTTATTAGTCTAAAATATACTGACTCTGCTGGGCTAATGTGGCATGAGTGGGAAGTAAAAGACTGTGTGGTGAAAACTGCTATGAAGGTGATGCCTAAAGCACTTGACACTGGACCAGGGATGTGCAAACAGAATGTAATAGGCAAAGAACAGAAGTTCTGCCTTGAAGAGTTTGTAATCTGTACAAGACAGGGTAAGCAAAAAGGAAGTCAAATGTTTCCTTAGAGAATGATGTTTTATTTTAAACTCAAGTGGTTAATTAGTTTTTGTAGAATTGCTGACAAACTTCCCCAGGTGTGAAAATTAGGTGACCAGAACCTTTAAGTGGTGGCCCTTTTAACTCTAGAGTGTGTGTTAAGGAGTTTTCTATGGAGCTGCAGGTGCTGTGAATTTTGAAGTGCTTGTTTTCAATCACATCTTGCCTGGACACCTGAGTTTCATTCAGTTTTTGCTTGGCTCAGCAGAAGAGGTTATGAAGACCTCCAACAGGAGTCAAAATTTCAAAGCTTCCAGATTCACTGTAAGTTTAGAGAGACAATAGTAAAGTGGCAGGAGTGTGTAGTGAGGCTGAGGTGAAGAAATTAAATTGGATAAACGAGAACACAAATCAGCATTCAATGAGAATGAGATTCACATAGGAAAGAAAATGCCCTGTTTTCACATAGGAAACTGCTGTCCAATACCCCATATAGTTTCTATGCTATAGAAACTATATATGCTCCAAATACTGTTATACTCTGAGTGCTCATCTTCCTTGCAAAAAGGATGATTTCAATGTAATGTAACCAGAGCTATGGATTATGGGGGAGAATGGAATTACCAACATTTAAGTCATTGCAGCAGCTGGGGTAGGACCTTCCTGATCTCTGCTTTCCAAGGTAGGTACCACAAGGTACTTGTGTAGTTTACTGTAATGCTGCTTTCTGAAATCTCCCTGGGGGCTAATGCTTGTGGGTGATTATCTCCATTTTCTTATGTGCTGTAAAAATTCAGACAGAGAATATCTAACCTGGGGCCAGGATCACGTGAGGAATTAGGTGTGTGTGTGTAAACAGCAGCCTGGCTTGAGTTGCTGAATCTGTTGTGAGCTAATATAGGCCGCTTTCTACTACACAATTTTTCTACACTTAAATTTATTGCAGATGAACAAATGTTTATAACACTTCCATATATAAATTATAAGAGAATAGATACTCTAAGTAACAATGGTGCAACTGGGTACATTCCTAAGAAGATGGCAGGTCTTGAAGGTCAGCTTCATCTCCATGGTTTGGGCAAAGGAAAATGTACTTTGTACATTAGGTGATCTATTGGCTAAATTCTGCCTTAAAAATCAAGTGATCAAGTCTGAAGTATTTGCTACCTGCACAGGTATATAATTTTGGAAGATAATACTTGCAGGGTTATAACTGATGTCATAGCAAAAGAACTGTTTAAGTAACAGTGGCAACTGGAATGGATGGAAAGCCAGGCTTTCCAAGAAGCTGATACACTTTCAGCTGAGCTGTATTAGAAAAATGGGAGGTTGGGTCCCTAGCAGCACTCTTGCTCGTTACACAGCCTATTACCACCATGTACAGACTGCGAAGAACGGCTCGCCTCGGTTCTGGGATGAGACAGACCTGGCACAGAGCAGCCTGTGAGGTGCAGCGGCACGGAGGAGGCAGCCCGGGCGGCGCTGGGGTCTCCGCGGGTCCCCGCGATCCTTCGCCTGCTCCGGGCCGGCTGTCCCGGCCTCTGCGGGCTGGATTCAGCAGAGGGCACTCTGCTCCTAGCCATAGAGGAGGCGCCTTCCCTTGCTGGTGAGAAACCTAAACAGATTGGAAAAGTTTCCAGTGCAACATATTTGAACAAACTCTTCATCGGTTATGTTTAGTTCACTGGAGCATATTTTTAACTTCAGTGGCAGGGATCAGAGCCCTTTCTCTACGTGCTGCTCTTAGCGGACTCGACGAAAGCTTGGAACATCAGTGGAAGCTGCAGCGCAAAGGTAGAGGATTTTGGCGTTCCTCTTCAGCCGCTCGAAGCTCAGAGGGAGAACGAGAGCAAAGCTGTCGTACGAGACATATTCGCCAGATTTACAGTAGGAAACCTAAAATTATTGTAGAGGGCAGCACGATTAAAGACCTACTCGGTGTGCGAGCAGATTTGTAGCTGTATAGCGAGAGTTACTTGCAGATGAGACACAGGATGGTTGTGGTTTTGGAAGCCGCTTTGCATCAGATTCGGAGGCTGACTTCACGGTAGCTTTTGCCCCTCGGGGGAAGACGAACCACTTGGTCCCGGGCTGCCGGGGTCTCGGCCCCCGACATCGGAGCGTCGCCAGTGCCTCCGGGGGGAGCGGGGGTGGGGAACGGGCTCGCTTGGCCGGCCGCCCGCTCTCGCTGGCCGGGGAGGCAGCGGCTGCGCGGGGGGCGCCGGGCGAGCGGCGGAGCCGGGCCGGGCCGGGCCGGGCTGGGCCCCGCGCCGCAGGTGGAGGCGCCCGGGCGGCTCGGGCCGGGCTGCGGCGGGCGGGCGGGGCGGCCCGCTGCCAGCAGCCTGTAGGACCGTGGCTGGGGCGCGCCGGTGGGCTGGAGCCTGGCGCGGGGAGGGGCCGCCGCTGGCGGGGCAGGCAGGATGCTGCATCCCCGGTGCCGTGACAGCCGAGGCTCTCCCGTGCGCCGGCCGTGCCCGGCCCGCTCCCCGCCGCCCTCCCGGCCCCGCTGCGCGCTCCCCGGCTCGCCGCACCAGGTGGGTGAGCCCGGCAGGGCTGCGGGGCAGGGCAGCCCCGACCCCTGCCCCGAGCGGGCTCCCGCGGCCGGGGCGGCGGGGCTGGGCGAGGGGCGCTCCGCAGGAGTCTCCGGGGGGCTCCGGGAGCCCAGCACCGGCACCGGGAAACACCGGAGCCGGTGTGCTCGGCCACTTGGGGCTCTCGGCAACGCCTGGACACGGGGGCGAAATAAGGCTTCCTTCTTTTATTGTCATAGTTCATACTTTTGAACGACAAAAACATCCAGGAGTGCTAGTGATTTTAGGACGGAGGGGAACTTCACGATGCTTTTGGAGGGAGGGAATAAAACGCTTCTTTCTGTAAGGAATCTTAATTATGTTCAGTTGAACAGGTGCAAGACCTATTTGGATAGATGGTTTTCCTTTGGGATGCCCGCTTTTTTAAAAAAAGAGTACTTTATTTGAAGGAGAAGTTTGTATTCACTGTGTGACTTGGCAAACTTGTGGGGTGGTGGCTGAGGGGAAGGAAGGCTGCTTGTGTGTGTAATTGGGGGTTCATAAAACTTGCACTGTTTTGAGATCACTCTGGTAGTGCATAGTCTAAGACAATAACGTGCATTGGCACAAGAAAATAACAGAATTAGTAATATTATCACATGATGGGGTTTTTAGCAATTTTAAATTGACAAGCCCATGCTGGCCTTGTAATTTTGATGATTGCTAATTTGACGGATTTTCTTTTTTTCCTGAACTCTTATTGAGCCCTGATTGTTTAGTCTCCGAGCTTTCAAAGGCAGTGCAAATGACTGCTGAAATCCCAGGGCTAGGCTTTCATCTTTGAATGGTGAAAGTGCTGGAAAGTACATCAGGAGTTCTACGCTCCTTGGATTTTACATTTGAGAGATCAGAGTGGGAGGGATTCCCAGTTTGCTAAATTCTCCTACATGCAGGATGTAACCAAGCTTGCCCGCTGTTGCCAGCTTCCCCGGCCGTCTCGCTGTGTCCTTCGAGTGCCCGGCTGGAGCTGCCTCCCCTGCAGGCTGCGCTGCCGCTCCGGCCGGCGCAGCGCTGCGGTGTTTGCGCCGCGCTGCTGCCAGCGGCCGGCCCGCTTTGCTTCAGTCACTGAAATCCTGGCGGAGCCCACTCGGTTTTGTTTGTAACTTGAAACAATTTCTCTCGGCAGAGCCCCGAGGCGTGAGGATGGCCAACCCTAAAGCCACTGGGCTGTCCTGGGAGATCACTTGGTTTGCTTTTGCTCTCTATGCTCACCTGCAGGTAGGTAATGAACTTGTCGCTGTTGTCATTTCTGGTTCTGTACCAGGTGATCTTACTGCACACTTTGCATTACTGTTTTAAACCAGAAAACTGCTGAAGGAGCTGCTTTGCAATTAAAAGTTTCCCAATGAGAACGTTTTCCTTTCACCAATCTTTCAAAGACATTAATGCAGGAAATGAATATTCTCTCCTGCTTAATATACTCTAGCTGACTTTACCAAAGGGTGACCAAAGGGAGATCTTTCCAGATGTGTAATGCCATGGGTCTTTCTAGGCAGCTCAGCTGTTCTCTGCCCCCAGGAGTTTAAGCACCTGACTGACAAATGTTAAGGTGCTGTAAGTGACAAGGGTTTTAGAAATGCCTTGGTAGGAACATCTAAAGCATTTACAAGAGGGGAGGTGGCCCCAAAAGGTCTTTGCTCCAAGTATTCAATGAGTACAGGAACCATGGAGGAAAAACCATAGCTGCCATCTGATCTATTGCCTGACACATGAGCCTAATCAGTTCCAAGAGGTGAGTATTTCAAGAAATATGGTGTGGTAGTGTGCTGCAGAGATGTTGTTTTACAGTATGTCATTCTCCATACTGATAGCTCCCACAGCACAAAATATTTCAAGGACTCTTCAGTAATAAATACACATAAATCAAATAAATCTGTAGAAAAAGATGACTAAATAAACTGAGAATTATTTTTTATAATAAATAGGAACATTTTTGGGGCATTGTAATAGTTTTCAACACAAAAGTAAATTAATTAAATAAAATCAGTGTTATTGTGTGCTGCTTGTACTATTGCAATGCTGAGAAGTGGAGGCTGATGTGCTGGACAGTATATAAACATACATCCTGAAGAATTTCGAATTGAAGAATGCTACAGCAGGCAAAAGTAATATCAAAAGGAGTTCTAGACAGCTGAGTAAGCTGTGATCAGTTTATGGTGGATGTTGAGGTTCAAGGTAGTGGGAATGGGGTTCCCCTGCATCCTCAGTGGCACTGCTGAGTGCTGAGAGTGATTTGGCAGGTGATGAACCTCCTCTGTGGATGTGGCCGCAGCTAACCAGTGCACTGGTTACTTGAGTAAAGAACTTGCCATTAAAGTAAATGTTTGCATCTGTATTAATTGTGCAGTAAAACAGTGTACTCAACACATGTCTGAGCAGAGAGGGCCACAGTGGGATCTGCTTTTTGCCTGTGTGTTTCTTATGCAAGGAAAAGTTACAGATCTGCCTTGCCTGTTCAGCTTGTATTTTTGTGTGAAAGCAATTGAGTGATGCTGTAGTAAGCAGCCCTATAAAACACTCAGGAAATAGTTCATGCAGTTCCATTAATAGTTCTGTTCAAGATAAGAATAGAAGCTCGGAGAAGGGACATGTTAGTTTTGGTTTTGTGCCTTTTGGTTATGAAGGGACCATTTTCTGCTTTTAAAGTATTTTTCTTGTATTTTTTCTTTCACATTTTTCTTACTGCAGAGCTGGAACCAGTAGTGGCATAGTTTCCTCTTCTCCACAAATGGTTTGGCATAGCTTCACTTGTCTCTTTATAATAAAAACAACCCAAACACATTGTAGTAATCAATTGGCTATTGTGAGTAGCTTTATGAACACTTCAGTCCAGGTCAAATTTTATGGTCTTGATTGTCCTTTAAAATACTGTAATCTGTTTGGCATATTTGAGTCATTAGCACTTAACCCCAATCTTGTAGGCCTTTTTTATCCTAAGTTTTAGGTGTTTTATCATAATTTTAGGCACATTAAAGATATTTTACATTATTTAACATAACATTTTTGGTATCCAATAACCATTAATTCTTTAATTGGTTGCCTGGGGCCATACTAAATGGACCACACACAGTCATTTTACCCTAATACTGTACCATAACTTCCACTTCTGTTATTTTTGGCTATTAAAGTGCTTATGTCTAGAGCTAATCAATTAGAAACAATTGGATGCTGGGCAAGGTCACAAGTCTGTGTCATATCACTTATGTGCAATTGATTAATTTTATCCTGTTGAGGCAGGTACAGAATAAAAAAAAAAATGACCATTTAAAAAGAATGTGGTGGAAATGTGGTATGAATGTAATGCAAAGCAAACTTTAACACGAAAAGTTGTGAAAAAGAGGTAGCTGTTCCTGAGAAGCAATGGAACTTAACTTTGGTTATAGGAGTCCTTTCTGATCCTTCACAGCGTGGTAATAAGCAGTGTGGTGCTTAGCTGGGCTCCAAAATTATCTCTGCCCTTGCAGATGTGCTGTGTCTCAAATTTGACAAAGTTATTTTTTGAATGGCAAATTAGTTGCTATACTAGTAGGTAAATTAAGTTTCTTAGGATAACCCAGGGAAAAGTTTACCCCTGAGCATTGTTGAGCTGCCTGATTGTTAAATCTGCTCTGTGACCAAGAGCAGTAACATAAATCACTCAGGAAAAGATCCCTTGTGGGTAAGGCTTGGCCATGTTCTTTTGCAAGTACAGACCTGACCTTTTCTTGTATGTGCCAATATAAATGAAATTAATGGACCTGCATTAATCTAAAGCCAGTGGTAATACAAGCAGATTACATATGTATGTTTTTTTTGAAAACAAACAAGACAACTTGTCTATTAAATGGTAGCAGCAACATGGCATAACTCATTGTTTCTAAAGATTTAAATGATAACTCTACCCAATGAAGTTACTGTATTCTACAGATTATGTGTATTTGGGAAGGTTAACTACATCCCTAGCCTTGAATTTATTGCTAAATATTGCTTAAAAGTCTCCTGATTTTTCCTCACATTGTAGCAGGAGAGCTATTAATTCTGCAGATTTTAGGAGAAGGTTAAGCTAACAAAGTACAAGTGTCCAAGTCCAGTTATGCTGTTTTGAAGTGATCTCTTGAGTACACATTGCTGCATATTGGTAATTGAAAAGGCAGGATGTTCAGCCTGGTAACCACCTCTTTCTTAACCTTATGATGATACTTTATTACACCATTCAACTAGATGCTGTTATATTTGCAATGAAATGTATGTAGGACTGTACATTTATAGTCTTACTAATGGATTACTGGCAGGAAGAAACGATGGCTATCAGATTTGTATGGGCAAATATATATCAAGAATTTTAAACATGGATTCATTTTAGATTTATTCTCTGGTATGTTGTTTTCAAATCAGGAATACACTGATACTTTCTTATGTTCCTATAGTCCAAATTAAACCCTCTACAAGTCAGTGCATTTTGCCTCCAAAGACCATGGGGCTGGTAATGTGTGCAGAGGGAGTAACAGCAAAGACACCATGTCTGGGTATTTAAGAAGCATTAAGTCTTGGTTTCTATGGAAGGGAACATTTCATAGGTCGTATATTCATTCAATAAACTGTTGGTTGCTTCCATGATTTATGTTCCTGCAATCCCTGCCTGCATTATGGTCTTTTATAACTATCTGTGATATTTTGGAAATGAAGGATATACATACTGAAAACATTATTGTCTTCAAAATGATTCTGCCATAACCAATCTGCCAAAAACTACCAACATAGTAAATGTCTTTAAGGCTGAGCTGTGCAAGGCCAAAAATCTGATGTCCATTATATGACATAGTGGACTTGGAGACCATCTTTGTGGAAAACCTTTGGATTATTGTTTTACAGTCACTGAATGTGTTGAACACTGATGTCCAGAAAACAGATTATGAGCTACATGTCATACAACATTCTTAAGTCTCCAGTGACCTTGATCAGAAATATCAGGGTGAGATTGGAAAGTCCCAAGTTAACTCTGAAGCAGTTTTCTGTTTCTGTAGGCAGGTGGCAATTCTGCACCCATCTGGAGTTTTGCCATCAGCCTCCAAAGGCCTGTGGTTTTATTCTTAGTGTGAAGATTGAGTTGCTGCTTCTAAAGACAAATAACACATCTGAGACTCTGTACAAATATTTAGATTTAAAATATTCATTGCTATTGACAAGGTTGCAACTTAGTGACTGCATTACCAGAAAACTTGTGCTTAAGTTTCTGAATGTGCTTTAAATTTATGACTGATAATGATTGCTCAGCCAGTGCTCGTAGAATCTGAACTGCTGTTACCCCTGGTTTACAATCCAATAGTGGAATTGCCTGAAAAGTTGTTGTTTCTTGTGACTTGAGACACAAATTATGTATGAATACTTACTTTTTAAAATGTGTCATAAAAAATTAAAGTCAGCTATGGGAGAGGACCAAGAGTACAGATGTCATCAATGGAGGCACCCCTCTACTATCTAAGTTATTTGTTATGATGATAATTTCTCATTAAGTTAAACTGAAAGTTGGACAGAAATCCTCAGATTAGTTGTGTGTAGAGCTGCATATTTTTGTTTCCAAAACCAGGTATCCAAGAGTCTGGTGCACTTAAAGAAGCCTCAAGAATAGGAATAATTTCTAACAACTGCCAGTGGCTTCTAATTTCTCTTGAAAGAGTAGTCAAGAAATGAAGGAATGGCTCTAGGATGATCTTTGGTTTAGAAGACACTTGAGTGCTTAGTCACTGATAATTACTCATTCAGGTCTGCTTGGTGCAGCTGCATCCCTCATATTCTTTACCAAAAAGGGCCATAAACAGCACTGAGGTGGCAAGTTTGGCACAGTGCACCAAATTCCATTCCTGCCTTTGCATCACAGAAAATGCACATGATTGATTGTACTGATATTAAAACTTCTACTCTTCATACAGAATTCAAGATTTAGCCATCCAATATAATGCATTTTGCTTCAAAGGAACACACATTTTAAAATTGGAGTCCTTTTTATTTGCTGTTACTTCTGTAACCTGTAGGTTCACATATTTGTCTTTATGTTCAGTTTTTGTGCTTAAAGCTTTTCTTTAAACATTTCTCCATGCTTGCCTGAATCCCCAGGAGCTCCAATATGGCTTGCAATTGAATAGTAAAGTGAATTCAGTGATAGTGGAATCAGAGTCATAATCATGCATCTATAGTTGCTGGCAGTGTAAGTCTATGCAAGAAATCTCAGGTATAATTCT